ACCACCCTCCCCTCCCATCCCCACCCCAATTCCACATGTAGGGCAATGCCATCCAGGTGGAGTCATGTAGATCTGTCAGGTCATTTGAAGTAGGGACTAGGACTTCTCTCCTGTCTCTAGGTTAAGACAGTATTCCTCCATGGGGGATGTGTCCTCAAGGTCCTTTTGTGTACCAGGAATACATCCTGGTTCCACTGTCTGAGGTCCCTTAGACTGCTTAGTCCTTCTGGCTGAAACCCATGTTCAGAGGGCCTGAGTCAGTGCCATGCTGGATTCCCAGCTATCAGTCTGGGGGCCCGTTAGCTCCTCCTTTTTCGGGTCAGCTGTCTCTATGTGTTTCTGCAACCTGGTCTTGTCCTCTCCATTTGCATCTGGATTCTAGTCAACTCAGTGTTTAGGTATGGGTGTTTGCTTCTGTTTCTAACAGGTATTATTTGAGGGCTCCATGGATAAGTTAGTTGTTGATCTCACTATCCAGGAAAGGCATTTATGGTAGCCTTTCCACGGTTGCTCAAATTATTAGTTGGTGGCTGTCTTGTAGGTCTCTAGACCTTTTCTTTAGGTTCAGTTTTCTCTTCAAACCAATATTGGCTCCCTCTTTTATGATCTCTCTCTCTCTCTCTCTCTCTCTCTCTCTCTCTCTCTCTCTCTCTCTCTCTCTCCTGTCTTCTATTCCTACTCTGACTCAATCTTCCTAGTCGCACGTGTTTTCCTCTCCTCCCCTTCTGTTTCTCCTACTTCTCTCTCCATTCACTGCTCCCCCCACTTCCCCTATGCTCTGGGGGACTTGTCCTTTCCTGCTTCTGTGAGGGACTTTATATGAAACTCTTAGAATACACCTTGTATCCTAGTTCCTCTGGTGGTGTGAATTACAGGCTGGTGATCCTTTGCTTTGGTCTAAAATCCATATATGAGCGAGTACATACCATGTTCCTCTTTTTGTGACTGGGTTACCTCACTTAGGATGGTTTCTTCAAGTGCCATCCACTTGCCTGCAAATTTCAAGATTCCATTATTTTTTTCTGCAGAGTAGTATTCCATTGTGTAGATGTGCCACATCTTCTTTATCCATTCTTCAATTGAGGGGCATCTAGGTTGCTTCCAGGTTCTTGCTATTACAAATAATGCTGCTATGAACATAGTTAAACACATGTCTTTGTTGAATGGATGTGGATCATTTGGGTATATGCCTAAAAGGGGGATTGCTGGGTCCTGTGGTAAACTAATTCCCATTTTCCTCAGGAACGGCCATACTTATCTCCAAAATGGCTGTACGAGTTTGCACTCCCACCAGCAGTGGAGGAGTGTTCCCCTTTCTCCACATCCTCTCCAGCATGAGTCATCATTGGTGTTTCTAATTTTAGCCATTCTTGCAGGAATAAGATGGTATCTCAAAGTTGTTTTGATTTGCATTTCCCTGATAGCTAAGGATGTTGAGCACTTTCTTGTCTTTCAGCCTCTTAGATTTCCTCTATTGAGAATTCCTTCTTCAGTTCTGTACCCTACTTTTTAATAAGGTTATTTGGTGTTTTGTTGACTAGTTTCTTGAGTTCTTTGTATATTTTGGAGATCAGTCCTTTGTGAGATGTAGGCTTGGTGAAAATCTTTTCCCAGTCTGTGGGCTGCCTTTTGGTCTTGTCCACTGTGTCCTTTGCCTTACAGAAGCTTCTAAGTTTGAAAAGGTCCCATTTATTAACTGTTGCTCTCAGTGTCTGTGCCCCTGGAGTTATGTTCAGGAAGTGGTCTCCTATACCAATTTGTTCAAGGGTACCTCCTACTTTCTCTTCTAAGAGGTTCAGTGTGGCTGGATTGATGTTGTGGTCTTTGATTCATTTGTACTTGAGTTTTGTGCATGGCGACAGACATGGGTCTATCTGCAGTCTTCTACACACCATCATCCAATTGTACCAGCACCATTTGTTGAAGATGCTGTCCTCGCCCCATTGTATTCTTTTAGCTGTTTTGTCGAAAATCAGGTGTTCATAAGTGTGTGGGTTCATAGGTGTTTGGAGACCCAGTGTCTCCAAACACAGGCACTTTTCTATGACAAGTCTGCAGCTTGGGCTAGGCAAAATGGAGATGCTGTGTGTGCCTCTTGCCTTTAGATACTGTAGTGCCTCTGGGGCTGTGGAGTCTGTTTTTCAGAGGGCAGCAGAGTATTTGCTGGGGCTATAAGCTGGCCAGGGCTGAGGCTAAGGCCCACATTCTCTTACCCTGTGAGTCTGCTCATATGACCTGCATCTTTGAGTAGCTGTTCATGGTCACAGAAGTAGTCCAGCCTCCACAGTACTCAGGGATGTCATGCTTTGCATCTCAACTCAGTTTAAACTTTTTGTTGGCTTATGTTTGTTTTTTGAGACTAGATTGCACTATGTAGCCCAGGCAGGCCTCGGTCTTTGAATTCTTCTGCCTCAGCCTCCTTTGTACTGGAATTGCAGGTGTGTACAACCATGGCTGGTTTAAACCTAGCCCTTTTGAACAGTACCATAACTATAGAATCCATTGGTATTTATTTGAAAGCTATTAAGTTTGCTAATTTGTTACAATAGCCATAGTTAACTAACATAGTCTCATGCTGTTTCACCCATGAAGTGGTCGCTCTGGCAAGTTTTCCTGGGTGTTAGTGGGCATTTTCCCCCCTGTGGCATGGGTGGCATACACTGGAACCGGGCCAGGCCTTCCCCCTCCCTTTGTTTCTCTCTCCTCTCTCTCTCTCTCTCTCTCTCTCTCTCTCTCTCTCTCTCTCTCTCTCTCTCTCTCTCTCTCTCTCTCTCTCTCTCTCTCTCTCTCTCTCTCTCTCTCAACCCAATGTTAAGCTCAGTGTGAATATATCTCATTGTGCCCTTCCTTTCTTTGTGAGAAAAGCCATTTAGGCACAGCTGTGCCTCCAGAAGAGCCCACACAGACTAAGCAAGCCACTTACCCCAAATCTGCCTCCATCAAAAGTACACTTGGCTTCCTGCCTGCATGCTGTGGTTGGATTGCCATTTGCATCCTGAACTTCAGGATTATAGTTAACAAAAGCATATCCCAGCCATTAGTCATCGGTCCATTTTTACCCAGAAATGATTGGTTTACTCATTTTCCTATTCTTCCCTTTGTTCTGCCGAATGGCAGCTTCTTTTAATTGTGAGAGTCTTTTTGTTCTGCCACCATTGTTTGCTGTTGCCCTTCTGTCTACAAGAGCAATTCATTCTGAATTGCCATTAGAGAGTGCCATTAGGAGGTTCTGGGCTCCAGTCACCCTAACACAATGCAGATTAGACAGGTACCTAGGGTTGCCACTTACTGAGGGGACTGGTTGTAGCAGGTCAGCATTCAGGATGAGCCTTTCTATACCTGCTTCTCAGGCTGGTTTGGGTCATCTTGGCATGAAGTAGTGATATGCATCTTTAAGAGACTTCCTGTCTCTAGGTTTGGGGGCAGGGAAGCAGCAGACTGGACAGCCACATTTGGAACCACATCTGAAGCCACATCTGGCCTGCCAGATCCCACCTCCTGGCAAAGTCTGCACTGAGAGGGCAGAAGGAGACTGTCATCTGGCAGGACAGGTCCTGCACCATCCTTGGGGGATTTCCCAGGGCATGCACAGGAATCCCAGCACTTCCTGAGGGGCTCTGAATTGTCCATCCCTGCTCATTTCCTCAAGACTTGACTTACCCCAAGCCTTTGCAAGCAGTAAGTCAACTAGGGCTGGGGCCATGGGTGGGTTTCCCTTTTGGCATGGTGGCTTGCTCCAGGGATGAGACAGCACCTGGAATTTTAATCGTACTGCCTAACCCTATGCAGTTACAGTGAACATAGAGGTGATATTTGCAAGAGCTATCCACTAGAACCCAGGATACATACTCGGGTGACCTGCCAAGGATAAAAATGGGGAGAGTTCAGTTTTCATATCATACAGTTTAGTGATTTTGTTGTTTTGGGGGAGCAGTGTCTCACTATGTATCCTTGATTGTCCTGGAACTTCCTATGTAAACTAAGCTGGCCTAAAACTCACAGAAATCTCCCTGCTTGTGCCCCATGCATGGCACATGTGCCCACATACATCATGGGTACACTTGCATGTACACACATTCTCACATCTTTAAATAGCAACTTTAAGAGGCAAATTTCAGAAGACTATCCATTCTGCACTCAAACAATTATAATAGAAATAATTATTGTGTATAAAAGTAAAATACTTTTTAAATGGCTTTGAAACACTGGATGCAAATTAGGTATCAGTGTCCTATAAATGTCTTTACCACACTACCTATAGTTTCTCAATTTCTGGTGTGCTATTACCGTGAGTGTAGCCCTTACCCTGTGCTTCTGTAGGCCCTTGGAAAATACCTGCTGTGACAGGCTGAGCAAAAGTCTGCAGCAAGTTGACCAGGCAGCTCCCACAGCTTACACTATCTAGGGCACCAGCCTCTCTGCATGAGGAAGACCTATTAGGTGCAGATTCAATTAGAGAAGTCTCCCTGTATCTCAGGCAGTTGAGCAAAGCTAAACCAGTGGATTAAGGTCTCTGGAACTCGTGGATGAGACTCCTTGAACAGAATAGTTCTATTACTCATATTTTCCTAGCCTGGCCTTGCTCAACATTTTCCAGTGCCCCCCCCACCCCCCGCCAGGATGGCATTCCTCCAGTTATTCCAAGGCCTGCCTACACATCCCGCTACTGACAGCAAGGCCTCTACTGAGGAAAGCCTCTCTTCTGTTTTGAAGAGCTGTTTCTAAGGCTACATTTGTGACAGTTCTGGTGGCTCTGACACCGCCACATCACCCTGCTAGTCCCTGTTGACTCATAGAGGGCCAATCACCACAGCAGCCCTTTCCCTAGCTTTTACTTTGAGAGTCTGTTTCTTACCATAGAAACTGCTTGAGGTTTAGAGAATATTCACATTCCCACCCAAGATGTGTCACTAGATCAACAATGAAAAACAAAACAAACCAACCAGTGCTCTATGGAATTGTAAAACAGCAACTGATGCTTATTTATTTTTAATTTTAACATTTAAAACCAATTGTGTGGTGGGAAGAAGATGTGGCTTGAAAAAGAATGTGAATAGAAAATATCTCAATCATTATGTAGAAAGGAAAAAGGAACTGCCTCTCCCATCATCTTACCATTCCCAGGGTGGGATACAGAAGTGGTTTTCTACCCTCTGGGCAGTCGGTTGGTCCCAGCATTTAGTGTCTGTGGAAAGACATGCTGGCACAGCCCATCCCACTGACCACACGCTTTTCCTAGTCCCTCTCATACAACCGCCCATAGAGAGCTGCTGTCACCAGGCCAGAGGACAGTCCACTCTTCCTCAAGAAATAGTGGTCATTCATCCACCCAAGCTGGTTAGGGGTATCCAGAGTCATCCCAGAGGTGAGAAATAAAGGAAAGATATAGGAAGTGCTGAAGTTGCCCCACAGGTGAAAGTCAAATAGGCCCTGTGCCTCTGTGATCTCTTGGCCACAAGTGTCAAAGCCAGGACCCCCACACTTGACCAGGGCACAGACTTGAATGTAGTACGTGCCGTGCACTTTGTGGAGTCCGTCAAAGACACCCAGGGCGTACAGCTCTTGGGACAGGGTGGGCCTTTCGTAAAGTAAGTGACAACAGAGGCTGTTAGAGCAGACCTGGAGATAGCCTTCCTTTCCCCAGACAGGGACCAAGGTGAAATTGTCATACATCATCTCTGAGTGGAAAGTAGGTGGTACATTCATGTTCCACTTGGCAGCCTCATCACAGTGCACTTCCTGGGCATCCTTCTCACAGTATGGGTCACCAGACAGGATTTTTAAGAACTTACTATGGGATGGGTCCGTTTCACTAGTTGCATTCTCTGTCCCAACTAGGCCCAGTGGGTTTGTGGCTACCTGGGCAATTATAAGGTGGCCGCTGGGGTTGTCCATGTCATGGTACCAAAAGGACTGAAGAGGGGTGTGTATGCCACTGCCAGTCATCCCCAGAGTTGGGTGGTGGATGTTAGCTGCCAGAACACTGACACTGAAGGCAGTGGCCAATGCTTTCTGAATTTCAATGGCTGCCAAGAGTGGCAGCTGGTTCATCCAGGCAGTGGGGTATACAATGTGCTTCACCTCAGAGTCTCTGAGAAGACGGATGGTGGGGTCAAAGAACAGGATGTCAAAGCAAGTGAGCATGCCAAACTTGCCAGCAAAGGGGGTATCAAAGGTGATGAGGTCCACAGTAGCTGGGGAGTCAAAGGCTGCCTCAAAGTACAGGTTGTGTTTACGGTAGCGGTCAACAAGGGTTCCATTGTTGCTGAACACCACATTTGTATTAAACTGGTATCTCCCATCATGTGGGCACTCGGGGTCACTGTGAAGACAAGGCTGTTTTGTTCCAAGATTGGCCACCAAGAACATCTGTCCTTTCATGGCCATACAACTCAAGCGCTGGAGGACCTGGGGTGGGTAACAAATAAAGTAAGTTTAAACCTGCCTTTTGTGTCATATTTTTAGTAGAAAAGTTCCTGCATTGTGTCTATTACATATAAACAGCTATCATAAGTCAGTAAGAAAAAAACTTGTGAGTGTATACAAAGTTATAAATAGGTGAATCACAGGACAAATATAAGAAGCACTTGCAACAATTCTTAAACAGAATAGGGACAAAAATGTAAATTCAGTGAGATAGTTTTCACCTTTGCTAGAAGAAAGTATTACATCTCATTTATTTATTTATTTATTTGATTTTTCGATAGTGTTTCTCTGTGTAGTCCTAGCTGTCCTAGAACTCACTTTGTAGACCATGCTGGCCTGGAACTCACAAAGATTCACCTGCTTTTGCCTCCTAAGTGCTGGGATTAAAGGGATGTACCACCACTGCCCAGTGAGTATTCCATCCTATGTTGACCCAAGGGCACAAAAGTAATCTCATAAACTAGTACTGGAGATACATAAAGTGAGATAAACACCTTTTAATCTCTAAATATAGTATTTGAAAAATGCATTAAACATGTATAGCTTTTGAGAAAATCAATTTCCAAGAGTTTAAAGGAAAACTTGAACATGCTTACAAAAATGTATGTGCAGGATATTCATTGAAACATTGCTTAAAATAGCAACAGTTAAGAAGGAGGAGCTTCACCAACAGGATGTTGGTGAAGGGGAAGCATGGCACGCCATTGTTAGAAGCCTCCAGAAAATGGAGTGGTGAGGACTGGGCATTGGTGGGGGTGAACTTTGACAATGTTTTGCTTAAACTTGTTTAATATGTTTCAGTTCATTTGTTTCTTATGTAATTAATTAACCAATGAAAAGACATTGAACTGAGTAATGTCCCCTATTAGCCCAGAGCCTGGGGAGTTTAGGTTTGGTGGTTTGGATCTCAGACCTCCTTCAGACTTCAGGCAGCATGCTGTGGCTTTTGGCCATTGTTCTGTTCAACCTGCTGGATTCCTTGCCTACCTCCGTGTCATTGAACCGAAAGGGCTCCAGACAGGGGTTCCACCTGACCATCCTGGGAGATGGCATGAAGTCCAAGAATGGGTAAATGGATGTTCTTGTGAAGTTGAACCCATGGATGCCATCTTCTGGGAACACTATAATCTGCACACCCTGTAAGGGGAAAGACAGAGGAGAGGGCCATGAGGTAAGGAAGCACCATGTCCTTTGCTGTCAGACAGCAGCAAGCTGACTGCCTGGGGCTGTGAAGGAGATGGCTTGACCCTCAGCTTGGATAGAAACTGGAAAGGCTTGCTCTCGGGTCATCAGCTGACCGCCCACGTGCTGGAGAGTGGTTGCGCATGTGTCAGTGTCCTCTAAGAAGAACCATGAGCATGTGGGGATGGAGGGGACTTGAGCAGCTCTGCTGAAGGCCCACCAAGCTCACCAAGTGAACAGTTAGGCCACCACCTTGCTGGCACAGTGGGAGGTCAATTATGAAGCACCTAGAATATTGGGCCTGTTCACAAATGGGATATCTCCAGCAGTTAATGCCTATCATCTCATATCTAAGTCACTTCTGGACAAACACTGATGTGGAGGTCCATCCATAAAACAGTTGACTGGCCGGGCGTTGGTGGCACACACCTTTAATCCCAGCACTCTGGAGGCAGAGGCAGGTGAATCTCTGTGAGTTCAAGGCCAGCCTGGTCTACAGAGCTAGTCCCAGAACAGTCTCCAAAGCCACTGAGAAACCCTGTCTCGAAAAACCAAAAAATAACAACAACAAAAAAACAGCTGGAATGTGGGTGCGTCCTGGCTGCAGTATTTAAGATTCCTCAGTAGTCACAGTTGGACTCTGGGGCATGAGTGAGCAGCAAGTATGCTGTACACATAGCAGCTCCTACAGGGGACCTAAGAGTCCCTTTAAGGGCTCTCGCTGCTCTCTGGGCCTCTCTCCACACTGTGGCATCTACAGCACCATAGGGAGATAGAAATAAACAGGGCAAGACACAGCTCTCTTCCCACCTCATTCCCCCAGGGTTCTCCAGTTCTGTGGATTAAAATGTCAAGCCCAATGCAGAGGGTGGAGGTGGCAGGCAGTGACAGTGTCTCATCTACAATAGCATGTGTGAGAGCACTTACTTCCTCAGTGAGCTGCAACTTTATTTAGGTTTGTTTTCTCTCTGTTCTGGTTATAAAAGCTCCAAATTTTAATCCATAAAAAATTTGGAAGACCAAAAAAAAAAAAAAAAAAGAATTTATTTACATCTTCTAACAAAGACGCTTGTTAACATTCTGCTAGTCCTTTTCCCTCTACGTATCTGGGTACAGTTGAGATGGGATATTGGGATATTGGGTAGCATGTGTCTTTCCCATAGAGAACATTCAGAAATGCTGTCTGTAACGGCCACCTCATGTAACATGCCACCATTTCTCCTCCATTGATCACCTGAATCCAATCTCTGTAATAAAAACAAGCATGTGGCAGTTATCTGAGTGTGGTATGGTCAGATCACTCCCTGATCATTTCCTTAGAATAAAGTGGATTGCACACATGAAACCACTGGGTTAAAGAGCAGGTAAAGTTTTACTTTTTTGAGACAGGGTTTCTCTGTGTAACCCTGGCTGTCCTGGAACTAGCTCTGTAGACCAAGCTGTCCTCAAACCCACAGAGATGCTCCTGCCTCAGTCTCCTGAGTGCTTGCATTAAGGGCATGCACCACCAGCCCACAAGTCTTACATTCTTAGTATGCATCAGCAAACCAGTGTGGCTCCCCATTGCCCAGAGGGATAATGACCTCTCCATTGCACACACATCCATGAATGTGCAAACAAACTGATCACAAACTCAGTGATCAGAAACCAATAATGAAGATGGCCTGCCCTTCCAGATTTGTAGGCTGGCCACAGAGTCAGGTGATTTGATTATGTTTAGAATGTACCACTGTTGGCTTTTGTCATTTAGGAGGATGCCAGAGGCTCTAGAGCTCAAGGCTGGTCTAGCAAATAGTTCAGCCTGTTTCATCAAAATCAAAATGGAACAAGTTCTCACATTAAAGACTACATCTATGTCTTATGGGATATTAGCCAGTTTTTTAGCCAACAACAAATTCTCCTAGCCATTTCTGGGCTGACTAACTGGCAATATTTCCATTTCTCAAATCCCCATCATTTCTAATGAGTTAAATAAAAACTGTTCGTTATGCCTTTGTCTTTGCATGAGTCACTTTTTTGTTTTTCCAGATAGGGTTTCCTCTGTGTAGTCCTGACTGTAGACCAGGCTAACCTTGAACTCACAGAGATCTGCGTGCCTCTGCTTCTGGAGTGGTTGTTTGATTAAGGCCTGCAACATCACCGCTGGGCTATGAGTCGCACTTTTAACTTCTTGAAAATTATGCAAGAAGTTTTCCTTCACACAAGAAAAGAAAAAAAAAAAAAAAGAAGAAGAAGCATGCCTTATGGAGCCTGTCCTTTCAGTTATGTCTACACATTGACTATGTGGCTTTGGCTGAGCCCTGACAGCTCTAACAAGGTCAAGAACTCCTGAAGAACGAAGGTCGCCAACCCTTGGAACTGCACAGTGTAAATCATCTTCAAAGTACACTCATCTTCCCACTGTGCCCATGGAGTCTGTGAGGAACTCCTGTCTCCAGTAAGACTGACGTAAAACTCACAGACAGCAGAGGAGCCACCCTGTGAGCAGCTGGCATGACTCACGATCTATGTGTGGGAGCTCCAAGCAAGGGATTCGGTTGTCACCATGGACAGATGGAGAAGCCAGAAGAGGTGAGCCTGCAGGTGCTGTGGTGGCACCGTGCCATTAAACGCCTCCACCACAGGACTTGCCCTTGTCTGGGTCATTGCTGGTAGAAGGCCTGAAGACACAGCCGGGATTTATTTTACACTGACTTCAGCAGAGACATAAATGGAATAAGTATCAAATGCATGAATGCTATGTAGATGTCAGTAAAGATCCCTAAATAGCCCAACATGCTGGAGTAGTGAGCAGCTCTGATGGAAAGCTTGCTCAGGTTGTCAGCTGACTGCCTGGGTGTAGTGGGGCAGTATGTGTAAAGGAACAGGACTCTTAAGTTCCTTGGAAACTGATGTTATTGCCAGAAGTCTACTGGGGACAGCATCTGCAACAAGAACTCTGAGAGAAGCCTGCCACCCACCCTGCCACCCAGCACTGGGAATGTGCCCACAATTCTAAGTAGAAGCCTGAAGAGGCCTGGAAGCTCAGTCTTTTCCTGTGGGACTGGGTCAGTAAAACTGTCCCCAGGCGTGCAGAAGATGGAATTCAGCTGCTTTTTCTGAGCTCAAGGCCAGAACTGTGGTTAAAACCTCCCCAGAAGTTGCACAATGGAACACATGGGCCTGAGAAATAGTATGTTCTGAGCTACTGAGGGGAGCCAAGAAGCCAGGTGCCAGGCTGGAACATGAGAGGAAAGCCATCCATGAGGACCAAACACACTAACTAGCCCAGGATTTTAAAATGTACCAAGAAGTGGTAGCCGTGTCCTTTCAGGTCATGAGGTGTAGGCAGGAGTGTGATGGAATCTACTGTTATGGCCAAGGTCTACACCAGCAGCAGAGGCATGGCCAGGTCTAATTAGCAGCAGGGGCAGACAGAGGTTTGGCTCACTTGCCATTCAGCACAGCAGGCCTTCCTCAAGGAGTGGGCACTTACAAGTTCCCATATGCTTTGAATGCTTTTCAGAGGTGGAGCTCATTGTGCTCAATGGTTTTTTTCTTTCTGAATATCAGTCCCGGGGGTGGGGTGGGGGGAGGGCAGGCTGTGCAAATTCCCACTGCCCAAACTGCACCCACAGCACCAGACTCAAAGCCTTGCTCTTGTTTATAGTTCACCATCGAATCCCAGGCCAAAAAAAAACAAAAAAAAAAAAAAAAAAAAAAAAAAACAAAAAAAAACAAACAAACCAGAGATTTAGGTAGGCAGGGCTTCTTCAACTTGGGGAAAACACTCCTTGGGGGTGACCTTGCTTAACAAGCTGGTTCTGACTCTGGAGGTCAGGGACTGGAGCAAGATGCCAGTCAGCTGACCCGTCAACTCCCATCTGCAAGCTGACCCGATTTCTCAGGGGGACCTTGAGAGCCCAGGGTTTCTCCTGGTTCAGAGCAGCTGGCTCTGAGACAGGACAAGAAAGCTGCTCTTGCCTTCTGAGCTGCAGCTATCACTTGCTGTTCATAGACGTCGAGGTTCTGCTTCATGAGCTCCAGGGCCTGCTGGCGGCTGCTGAGCTCCAGGGGGTTTTGGCTCAGGACGGATCTGTGCTCATACACTGCAGCCACGTAGTACTCAGTCTCGCGGCGCTCCTGGGAGCCCGAGCCGACGCCCAGCGCAAGCGCAGAACAGCCGAGGAGGAGGAAGAGAGCGGGCGCAGTGAGGGCTCCAAACATAATGCAGACCATAAATCTGGAATGAACCGGCAAGGGGAGAAGAGCTGAATAAGGAAGGCTGCCAAAGACTGAACTTTCGCAGCTGTGATTTATTAATCCTGGCAATTACACTCACCCGCAGCGATGCTGCGGCTCAAAGAGTTTGTTTCATGTCCCTAATAAAAGCCGGTGTGTTTCTCTCCAAACACGTAGAGCTGCATTTCAAACAGCTCATTGTGTTAATAGACCAGTTTCAGAACATTTCCAAAACAGACTCGTGTTTACCTCTGTTTTTTTTTTTTTTTTTTTTTTTTTTAATGCAGCGTGCAAGAAGCCTGCAGTGCACCAAGGCCTACACTGTGCGCTGCAGGAACTGTGCGGAATTTTTGACATATTTGACGCTATGTCAGAGTTGGTTTTTTTGTTTTGTTTTGTTTGTTTGTTTTTTTGTTTTGTTTTGTTTTACTCAGCTGTACAGATCAGCCCTCTAGGACAGTCCTGAGGCTCCTGAACGCAGAGCAGCTTCCCAGCTGACATTCTTCAGTCTATTTGGGGGCCCTCTGGAATCCTAGCATCTGCTGTATTACCCAAAGCGCAGCTGTGAAGAAGTCTCTCAGTCAGAGCCCCACAGGGCTTTCTGCCTTGAAGCTGAGTGAGCTTTGCTTCCCCCACCCTTATGTGTGCCACTCCAGTTCACTTGCTAAAAAAGACACCTGTAGGGAAATACAATCTTTCTTACAGTGCAGTGATAACATGGAATTTTCTAGAAAATAAATTGGAATTTTTGTATCGAGTAGACTCTACTTACCATAAAAAATGAGACACAAGAAGTGAATGACACTTCTATATCCCTTCCTGACACAGAAATGGTTACTCCCCATAACTTTGTGTGTTACTAAATGTTTTTCAGTGAGTGGCCCAATTCTGCTTTGAAAAGACACGGTGGCCTCCTGGCTAAGCCTCTCCCCTGGCACAAATATTTATCAAGCAGTATAACACAGCCAAGTGGCTGCCCAGTGAAGGCAGACAGCAGCTGACAACTGCCCAAGAAGAATACTGGTTCAATACCAAGGTAACAGTGACAAATCAAGGAATCCCACTACCGTTCTTTAAGAAGGAAGTGGCACCTCCCCCAAAAACCAAAAAAAGACATATGTCCAAATCTCAACTCGGGATGTTTATGTTTATATTCCCAAACAAACTCCTTGGCTACTAGCTTCCTTTTTATTATTTGGCGGACAGTTCCAGAAACAAGCCATAAATATTTCAGCCACAGAATAGACGGAGGAGGAATCCTCATTCAGAACCCTTCAACATCAAATGCTCCACAGGGAGAAGCCTTCTCCCTCCCACCCCCACCCATCTCAAACCGACATTTGTTTCCCCAGGGAATAAATGTACCATACAAAGCCCAGGGTTTGCTGCTACTTATCTGGACACTGTAAGCTATGTTCTATGGCAAGAACAAGGGGCCTTTGAGTGAGCAGTCATGAGTTTTGGAGTAGAAACAAAAGTGTAATTGATAAGCTTTCTTATTGGAACTTTGTCTCCAAAGTCACCAAGGGATAATTTTACATAACTCAAAAAATCTACTTTGCATTCCATTTTAAAAGGATGATAATGGAGTAGCTTGGGTGAGGTCACAGTCATAGTGACAATACTTTTAAAGTCCAAGTTGATGGCCCTCTTGAAGAGGTGTAGAAACAGGCTGAGGTAGAGACACATGAGGCAGGCTTTGGTGGTGGCCATGAACTCCCATGCTAGGAAGGGCCTTCGTAGTTTCTGTATAACAGATGTGGGCACACAAGACTCTCTGTACATTAGGGGAACTTACATATAGCAGCCTAGGGCTCTATCACTGAACCTCAAACCAAGCCCTGGGAGATAGAACATCTAACTCTAATCCAGAATATCTAATTGTAATCCAAAAAACAAACAACAGAACCAGTAGAATACCATATTCCTTTCTATTTTCAGGGGGAAAAATTGTATTCTTTGTAGAAGTCCAGTAAGAAAGCCCTAAGTGGCAATCATTCGTGTGTGTGAACAAAGTTAGATAATAATTAGAGGCTATGCACGTTTAACCAGGTATTCATGCTTCAAAGATTCAGGCTTAATGAGGTAGGAGAGAATGAGTAATTACAATAAAAATAGCAGCAAGAGTTTGCCCTTCCCGAACAGCAGTAAAGCAGAAGACATTTGCCCTAATGTGAAGCTGGCTTTCTCTCTGCACTTGGCATCAGAAAAAACCTAACAAGGCTGAGCAAGGACACTGAGGGCTCAGCAGCAGCAGCAGAAGGGGTGCTCAGTTTAAAGTGACAGGGCTGTCATCTAGTACCTGTTGGAAACAGAAGCAAACACCCACAACTAAACACTGAGCAGAACTAGAATCCAGATGCAGAGGGAGAGGACAAGACCAGGCGGCAGAAACACATAAAGACAGCTGACCTGACAAGGAGGAGCTAACGGGCCCCCAGACTGATAGCTGGGAAGCCAGCATGGGACTGACCCAGGCCCCCCTGAATATGGGTCTCAGCCAGAAGGACTGAGCAGTCTAAGGGACCTCAGACAGTGGAACCAGGATGTATCCCTGGTGCACAAAAGGACCTTGCAGACACATACCCCATGGAAGGATACTGCCTTAACCTAGAGACAGGAGAGAAGCCCTATCCCTACTTCAAATGACTTGACAGATTTAGATGAGCCCTCCTGAATGTCATCACCCTACATGTGGAATTGGGGTGGGGGGATGGGAGGGGAGGGTGGTCAGGGTGCATGTGAGGGGGCAGAGAGGGTAAGAGGGAGGGAGAAGGAACTGGGATTAACATGTAAAATAAAAATAATTTTAAAAATATAAACAAATGGAAATCCAGGATTTGAAAGAAAAATAAATAAAAAATAAAATCAAAACCCTGACTCTGAAAAGAAAGAAAGAAACCGTGGTACATTTACACATTTACACAATGAAGTACTGCTCATTGGAAACACACAGACAAACAAACAAAAGTGACAGGGCTGGGAACTGGGGATGTAACTCAGCTGCACAAACCAGGCAGGTAGTGTATGCCTGTAATCCCAACACCCAAGAGGTGGAAGCGGAAGAGTCATTAGTGCAAGGACATGGGCCAGGGGAGATGGCCTGGTGAGTAGCCATTCTAAAGTCAGATCCCCAGGAGCCACGCACGGCTGGGCATGGTGGCACACCTGTGCCCCCAGCACTTGGAGAAGTAGATAGGTTGATCCTGGGACTCAGCAGTCAGCTAGTCTAGTCACTGAATTCCAGTTCAATGAGAAGCTCTGTCTCAAACCAAACCAAACCAAACCAAACCAAGACAGTAGAGAATGCTAGAGGAGGTCTGCTGATGTTCACCTCTGGCCGCCAATGCACACGTCCATCACATGTATCACATCAAAAAACAAAAGGAAATTCAAGGTCATCCTTACACAGGCAGCTCAAGGCCAGCTCATGTTAAGAGAGGAGGGAGACAGGGAGGAAGGGAAGTACTAGAGTGACCAGCACTCCCAGATGTATGTACATGAGGCAGTTGCTAGGCGCTGGATCATGACCACATGTACAGGTACACTGGGACCCAGAGCTCCCTGGAACAAGGGGCTCTGAAGACAAGCAGTTCTTGGAAACCCAACCGGAAATCCATCTTTGGAGGCAGTTGGGAACATGACCCTCAATAAAACAACTAGAAGTAAGCGTCTGGCCCAACATGGTGGTAACATAGTCCTTTTGCTGAAGGACACAGAGGACTGCACTGTAGCAGGGCCTGGACCAATACACAGCTGTAGGGACAATGTACCTGTTCTCTGTAGGCATGCCCCTCTCTGAGACAGGGCTTGAGCTCTGAGGTACCCCACATCTAAGAAGATACTCACATCAGACATCCATATATTAGCAAACCGAGTCAGGTGCAGGCACAGGTCTGGAATGCAGCAATGAGCAAACAAGGTCTGGAGCTCATTGCTGAAAGCACAGGAGGCTGGACATAAGGAGACCAATCTGTATGTGTCAGATAGCAATGTGTGCAAAGGAAAAGCAGGCAGAGAGTGTGGGGTGGGCACAGTCTGTGACTTGTGGAGAAGGAAATATGAGATGTTGATTCTAAGCAAACACCTGACCTCAGGCGGAGAAGGCGGAGCATCCAGGCAGAGGGCCTGAGGTAACAGCATGCCCTCCATTCAAGAGATGGCAAGAGGGGCTGTATGGCTGGAGCACAGGAAGCAGATGGGAAGGGTGGCCAGTGGAATTACAGGAAGAGTAGTGTCTGTTTACATGACTGAAGACCTCCATGCACATCACTTGTCCTCCACCCACATCTCATTAGAGGCCTTAAGTGGAATTATGACATGGTTATTGTTTTCATTTGGAAATTAAGCATGACATAAGGAGATGTCATTGTGTGTCAAGTTGACAAAGGGTAGACTTGTTATAACCAATCTTGGTTGTCAACTTGACTACATCTGGAATCAACTAAATTCCAACACTCCTTCCAGGGATTTTTTAAAACTCAAGCAGGAAGATGTATCTATGTCTGGGCCCCACCTTCTTGTGGTAGGCCATATAAATGGGCACAGGGGAAGGAAACTGCCTGCTTGCTTGCCCTCAGTCTACCTGGCCAGTTCATTTATCCTGTGGCTGCTGGTGTTAAATCCGACTTCTTCAGGATTCCACTGTAGAGAGAAAACCAGCAGCTCTCCAGGAACCCTCCCAGACCCCAGTCTCAGATTGGGACTGCAGTGACAACCAGCCTTATGGATGGACAATTCTGTTGTGACTCAGCCATTGCTGGGCTACGAGGATGATAGCCTGCAAGCCAGATGGAAAGGTCGAGTGTTAATAAACACAGTGTGACAAGCAGTGATGGTGTGAGAATTCACAGCTGAGCACACAGGGAACAGTAAGGAAAGGGTCAGGTCCTCTGAGGTCTAAGCTGTGACTTCGCTTTTCCTTTAAAGAAATGACAGGCAGAAACGACTGCACTGTGACTCAGACAGGGGCCAAGCCCTGCTTCACTAACTAAACAACTT